GGAAGAGTTTGGAGGGAGGAGAGGGAAGGGAGAATTGACGTAATTATAATCTCAAAAAAGTTTATTGAAATAATGTAAAGAGACTGACTGTCTTTGAGTTAGGACCACATTATTCATAGAAGAATGTAAATAGTACTAGAAAAGGCCAAAGAACTTTCTCATAATTTATATGAAACTTACGCATCAATCAATTGTTCTATGCTAGACATAGCAAAATGAAGATACAATCTGCTACATGACAAATAAGAAAAAAATAGTTTGAAAATGTACAAATAAAAAGAAAAAAGTTGTGTTTTCTATTAAGTTTTCAAAAAATACGTGATATGTGGATAAACTTATCATTTTCTGTAAAATAAAAGCCAACGTATTAGATGTATTTGAATTTACAAGGTTAAAGTGTCTCATGTAACCTTGAGTAGACGATAATTTTTAACATGGCGAATGCACAAAGTGGTGAAAGCAGACTTTCCTATGTAATGTCATTTCATCATGATGGGGTAATTTCAGAACACCATAATACCTGAAGGAGCCAGAAGTTACATTTATTTTTCTTGTTTTATTCTACACTATATAAATAATGTTGATATTAATTTTTTCTAAACTGTAAGTATAATGGAGAAAGGTTAAGTAGGGATAGTAAAATGTGAGAAAGAGAATCAATAATACAAAAGTATTGCAAAGCTATTTTTACAGGTTTAATCATAATTTTTGACTTTTAAAATTTTCATATATTTATTCTTCATCAAGTCTTCAGATTTAATAATTTTACTTTTTTTTTTAGTTTGCTCTGCTGTTTCAGAACTCTGTTCACACTATTTTGTTAAACTGTCCAGTCACATATATGCTTTTTAATAGATCAAGAGAATTTTTTTATCAAATACGTATTCATCCATATTTTAAAGATTTTGATTTTAGGGGTTGGGATGGGTAGATAAAAATACAGCTGAAAGATTAAACATTATAAATATGTATCTAATTAAGAAGGGTTTAATGAATTATATTATAAATGAGTAGTAAACAGGGATCAGCTGCACTCAGTTTATATCTGAAATTTCATTTACTAGTCAGGTAATAAATATGGACATTAAAATATATTATGAAATAAGAAGGAGTTAATATATTTTGAAACTGTATTCTTGATGCATTCTGCCAACAGACATTCACTTTTTAAATTAATTTATGTTGTGTGTTAGGCATTATTATAGTCAAGTGAAAGGAAGTAATATAACATTTTTTTGAAGACAAACACATTTGGAATACTTACTTATTGAGTGTATTGTTATAATATTTGTTTTATCCTGAAAAATATAAAATCAGCATTTCAGTTTATTCAATAAATGAATAATACCAAGTTTCAGATATTGAAGTATGTAGCCTGATATTAAGTTGTCAGTAGCTAAAGTATGGTATTAATCTTGTTTTATTTTTTTTAAATAGGAAGCCATGTCCTGTCTACTGTCCTATGTTAATTCTTTAAATAAAATAAAACCTTACAATATAATGTGATAAACTAATTTGTAGAAGTATGAGCATATAGTTAGTACTACATGATGTCATATTGTAGAAGATTCAGGTCATTTGGAATAACTAGGAAAGTGATTCATATCACCCTCAGTACTTCAAGGACTGATACTCTTCAAGAATGCAAATTCAGATAGTTAATTTTGTCACGATATCAATTGCAAAAGAAATTTCTTGACATGATTTTTGTACCTGACATGATGTAACCTGGCAATGGACTGTTTCAGAGAATGTAAATATGTATAAATCTACTTGTTTGGGGAGTTAGTCTCATGTCCAGTTAACTAATGAATAATTTTATTATTATTATTTATTATAGTTTATTCACTTTGTATTCCAGCTGAAGCCCCTCCCTTGTCTCCTCCCAATCCCAACCTTCCTCCCTCCCTCTTTTCCCTCTATGCCCCTACCCTAGTTCACTGGTAGGGGTGGTCCTTCTCTTCTCCCCTTCTATCTGACCCTAGCCTATTATCAGGACTGGGTGCACTGTCTTCCTCTGTGGCCTGGCAAGGTTGCATCCTCCAGGGGGATGTGATCAGAGAGCCTGCTACTGAGTTCATGCCAGGGATAGCCCCTGTACCCCTTAATAGGGACCCTAATAAGATACTCAATAGGGACCTCACTTGGAGACTGAGTCTATGAGCTACATCTGAGCAGGGGTTTTATGTCCTCTCCTTGCCTTCATGGTAAGGCGAAATGTTTCACAAACTTTTGGAAAATATTTGGGTTAAATGTTTTCCAGAGATGAGAAGTTAAAAATAAGGGGCTACATTCCTGAATAATGTCTGTCGTCTTTGCCATGGTCTCCAAGCTGAAAAACAGTGAATTGTTTTTTATTTTGTAATTGAAACCAAAATATATTACTCTTCAAATGAAAGTGTATTACTCTTCAAATGAAAGTATAAAGAATTTGGGGATGTGATCAGAGAGCCAGCCACTGAGTTCATGTCAGAGACAGCCCCAGTTCTCATTACTAGGGTACTCACTTGGATATTGAGCTGCCATGGGCTACATCTGAGCAGGGGTTCTAGGATATCTCCATGAATGGATATATGCCTAGGAGTGGTATAGCCGTTACCTGATGAAGCTCTATTCCTGATTGAGAAAGCACCAGATTTATTTTCATAGTGGTTGTACAAGTTTACATTCCCACCAGCAGTGGAGGAGGGTTCTCCGTTCTTCACATCCTTTCCAGCATGTGTTGTCACTTGAATTTTTGATCTTGCCCATTCTGATGGGTGTTGGATAAAATCTCAGGGTCGTTTTGATTTGCATTTCCCTGATGACTAAGGACGTTGAGCATTTCTTTAAGTGTTTCTCTGCCATTTGATATTTTTCTGTTGAGCATACTCTGTTTAGCTCTGAGCAGTATTTTAATATTGGATTACTTGATTTTTGCTGTTTAATTTCTTGAGTTATTTATATAGTCTGGATATTAAAAAATAAAAATATATAGGGTCAGATATATGGTTGGTGAAGATTCTTACCCAGTCTGTAGGCTGTCATTTTATTCTGATGATAGTGTCCTTTGCTTAACAGAAGCTTTTCAGTTTCATGAGGTGCCATTTATTGATAATTGCTCTTAGAGCCTGTGCTGTTGGTGTTCTGTTCAGGAAGTTATCTCCTGTGCCAATGAGTTCAAGGTTCTTCCCCACTTTTTCTTCTAACAGGGTTAGTGTGTCTGGTTTTATATTGAGGTCTTTGATCCACTTGGACTTTAGTTTTGTGCAGGGTGAGAAGTATGGATTTATTTGAATTTTTCTACATGTAGACATCCAGTTAGACCATCACCATTTGTTGAAGATGCTAACTTTTTTCCATTGTATGGTTTTGGCATCTTTGTCAAGATCAGGTGTCCATAGGTGTGTGTATTTATTTCATGGTCTTCTATTCGATGCCATTGATCCACCAGTTGGTTTCCATGACAGTACCATGTGCAGTTTTTAGTATTGTTGCTTTATGGTACAGCTTGAGATCAGGGATGGAGATACCTCCAGTAGATCTTTTATTGTAAAGCTAATTAACATAATGGCCACCCATACTTACTTGGAATATGAATATTGAAGTTCTACACATACTAATTTTTATGGAAGTACTACCTCGTTTTTAATATGGTTACCTTGTTATGCTATGAATCTCCAAAATCTCCCCATACTCTATAATTGTGTATTTTCCCCTTTCGACAAATATCTTCAGTTTCACCTTTCTACCCCATCTTGCTCATGGCCCACAGTCATACTTTCTAATTCTGTTAATGCAGTATCTTTAAGGTTCACTCTGACTGAGATATTTCAGTATTTGATGTCCTGTGTTCCTTTAATTCCATTTAGCACAATAATTTCAAGGCTCCTTTATGTTAAGAGAAAAATAGGATTCCTTTTATCTGAAGGGGGCAAAGAATAGGCTAAGTGTGTGTGTGTGTGTGTGTGTGTGTGTGTGTGATATCCACTCATCTATCATTTAACAAATCTTACAGATCTTAGTCATTATTTGTGAATGTTATTTCTTCTGTATATACCTTCTTCAAATTAGAATTGATAAATCTCATGGCATTTCTAGATTTAAATTAAAAGTTATTTTATTATTATTTTTGTGTGTCTATATGATTGTAGTATATGAGTATGGTCTATGTACACTTGATGTGTGTGTATGTACGTGCGTGCATGCATGTGTATATGTGTGTATGAGTGTGTGTCTTGGGTCCTGCTCTCTGATTCTCCACTTTATTCCTTTGAGACAGGGTCTCATGCTGAGCCTTGATCTAGTCTGAAACTCCACAAGCTCAAGTAATCCTTCTGTCTCCACCTCTCTCAACAGTGTGTGTACAGACACACACAGCCACATTCCTGTTTGGATGCAGGGATCTGAGCATAGGTCCTCTTGACCATAGAGCAAAGGCTTTTGCTAATCAGGCCATCTCTTTACCCCGACTCTTCTAATTTTTAATTTTTTTCTTTTTCTCTATTTTTTATTTTCCAGCACACAACTTCTACAACTTCTTTATCACTTGTGGTGCTGAAGATCAAACATAGGGCCTTGCTCATCTGTAGTTTTAATTCATTGGGCTACAAAGACAGTGTATATTTTTAATTTTTGAAGTATCCCAAAGAATATTTTGTCTTCCTGAATATATTAACTTATATTTATGTCAATACTTTACAAGGATATTTTAAAAATACAACCAAAGTTGTTATATTTAAATTTTTTTAACATTTTTGAAATCAACATACAATTAAGTCATTTTTCTTTTTTTCCTGTCTCAAGGCTTCCTTTTCTTGTAATTTTTGGAAAGTGTGAGATATTTCACTGCTTGAAATTATGATACTTTGATGACTTATTCTCAGCACTTGTATATGTATATATGTGTATATGTATATATATGCAGGAATTTATATTATAAATTATGACTTATAGTTTCTCTTGTTTCCTTCTTCAGGTAGCACTACCGCACTACCAAAAAAAAAAAAAAAAAAAAAGCAATGGAAAAAGTGAATCACTCTGTGGTATCAGAGTTTGTGTTTCTGGGACTCACCAACTCCTGGAGTATTCAGCTATTGCTTTTTGTGTTTTCCTCCATCTTTTATGTAGGAAGCATGATGGGAAACTGCCTCATTGTGTTCACTGTGGCATCTGACTCTAACCTACACTCTCCCATGTACTTTCTGTTGGCAAACCTCTCCTTCATTGACTTAGGTGTTTCTTCTGTTATTTCTTCAAAGATGATTTATGACTTATTCAGAAAACACAAAGTCATCTCCTTTAGAGGTTGTGTCACTCAAATCTTCTTCATCCATGTTATTGGTGGTGTGGAGATGGTGCTTCTCATAGCCATGGCTTTTGACAGATATGTGGCCATAAGTAAGCCTCTCCATTACCTGACCATTATGAGCCCAAGGATTTGCATCTTGTTTTCAGTGATAGCCTGGGTGGTTGGCCTTATGCATTCTTTGGTTCAACTGGCTTTTGTAATAAACTTACCTTTCTGTGGACCCAATGTGTTGGACAGCTTCTACTGTGACCTTCCCCGGTTTATCAAACTTGCCTGCATAGACACTTACCAACTGGAATTTATGGTCACAGCCAACAGTGGGTTTATATCTTTGGGCTCTTTCTTCATACTTATCATTTCCTATATTATCATCATAATCACTGTGCAAAAACACTCTTCAAGTGGCTCCCTTAAAACCCTGTCCACACTTTCAGCTCATGTTACTGTGGTGGTCTTATTCTTTGGTCCTTTGATATTTTTCTATACCTGGCCCTTTCCTTCTACACACTTGGATAAATATCTGATCATATTTGATGCAGTTATTACTCCTGTTCTGAATCCTGTGATCTACACATTCAGAAACCAAGAAATGAAGATTTCAATGAAGAGAGTATGCAGACAACTAATGAGATATAGGAAAACTTCTTAAATAGATGTACTGTGGACTGTCTTCAATCAATGTAGAAGCTTATTCTTTGTCAACCTCAAAATCGTTTTTGCATATATATGTATATATTTAATATATAGAAACTATATATACATATTTTTCATCTGCTTAGGCAGGAAGAACAATCTCTCCTGAAAACAGAGAACTACATGTATTTATAAAGCAAAGATTATAATAATTCTTAACCTACATTCCTAAGGAATGATGCTTATTTGGAGTAACTGACACATTAAGATCTTTAGAATAAGGAAAGTTTGTCTGTCCTTTAACATTCAGTTTATATTTTTAGAATTTCATACATGAATATTGTGTTCAAATACTTTCCATTCCTCTGTGTCTCTACTCCAACTCATCTCTGGCCTATTCCATTCTTTCTCTTATTTGTGGCTTCTATAGTTATTATAGTCACACTCATATGCACACACGTATATGACCATATATATATGTGTGTGTGTGTGTGATATATATATATATATATATATATATATATATATATATATATATATATTTCATGCTAAACACATTTAATGTTGCTCATATGTATGTATGTTTAGGGATAATAGGATAAGCTTAGGATGGATAACCTATCAAAGTATAAGTTGTCTCACATGCAAGAATTTCTGGATGTATTTTGGTGCACTTATAAAGGCTTTTTGAAGTGAATCGTTTGTCTCCTGTAGTTTGTTGACATTACCCATTTAGAAATTTTTTTTAAATGCTCTTCTTATTTTGTATTAATTAGTATTATTATTTACAATTTATCCATTTTATACCCCGGTTGTAGGCCCCTCCCTCAACTCCTCCCTCTGTTTTCATCCCTTATGCCCCTCCCCTAGTCCACTGATAGGGAAAGTCCTCCTCCTCTACTCTCTGACCTCAGCCTATCAGGTTGCATCAGGATTACCTGGATCTTCTTCCTCTGTGGGCTGCCTAGGCCACCCCACATGGAGAATTGATCAAGGAGCAGACATCCAAGTTCATGTCAGAGATTCTTCTCCTCTTACTAGGGAACTCACATGGAGACTGAGCTGTCTATGGACTACATCTGAGCAGGAGGTCAGGGCTATAATGGATGCATATTTTGTGTATAAGATTTGAAAGAAATTTTGTAATACTAGCAAGGAACTTAAGAAATGTTTTTTTTTGTTGTTGTTTGAATAACATTATTCTATTCAAATAAATCAATTTTATTCATTTTTTTCTTATTACTTCCTCTTTTCTTAGTGTTTCCATGTTAAAGTAAAACTGAAGAAAATATGTGTGCTCTTTGAGACGAGGAATTGAAGTAACACTTGTGTTCATGTTGGTTGTATACTAGGTACTAAGGTGTTGCATGTGTTGCCACCAGCACTCAGGCATACCCTGGTGGTATGGGAGTGAAACCATCTCAAAGTTTTTCTTCCTTTTTATAGATGTCAACATTCAGTTCTTCCAGGTCCCAGTCATTTGCAAGTTTATCACCACTGTGATGGTTGTCACAAGATGAGCCACCCTCTGCACCATCAAACTTGGTGCACGGAGACAGACACTCTGTGAGTGTGTCCTTGATGTTTACTACAGGACTTTGTCATTTCCTTAACACTGGTTCATTGGCCTGAGATGCAGGATGCGGCTCACTGAGATTAGACTTACCCTGTGCTGTGGAATGACTTCCTTATCGTGTAAAGTCTTGTTCACATAGTATTCATAGGTTGGTTCTACTGTACTGAGAAGTCTGTGGGTGAGCAGTGCCAGCCCTATCATTTGTGCATTAAAATCATACCCTATGCACATTAGTGTTATTCATACAATCATGTGTCTACCCACAGGAAACCTTTATGTAAGCTGAAATGTAATAATGAACTCACAACATGGAACTAACTAGTTTACCCACGCTTTTCATTTCTTGTAAGCCAGTGTCTTGAAACTTGGAATAGATTGATAGGTGGAGTTACAATGCTTTTGCGGGGCACTCCATTTGGGCTGAGGTGTGCCCCTTCAATGTGCTTGCCATAGAAGCAGCTGTGATAACAGCTCCCAGTTATTCACTGTGTTTTGTAGTTATAGATTTTATCTGTGGCTTAGAAATAGACTGGTTGATCAATGGAATTGAATCAAAGACCCAGAAATAAACCCAAATACTTATCATCACTTGATTTTTTTTTTTTGAAAAAAGACAGCACCTTCAAAAAATTTTGGTGCTGGATGTTTACATGTATAAAAATGCAAATTGATTCATAATTATCTTCCTACACAAAATTCAAGTCTAAGTGGACCAAAGACCTCAATGTAACACTAGATACACTACATCTATTAGAAGAGAAAGTAGGTAAGAACCTTGAACTCATTGGCATAGGAGACAGCTTCTTGAATAGAACACCTAGCTAAAGCTCTAAGATCTATAATTAATAAATAGGACTTCCTGGAACTGAAAGCTTTTGTAAGGCATAGGACACTGTCAATAGAACAAAAAGACAATTTACAGGTTAGAAAAAGATCTTCACCAATCCTACATCTGACAAAGGGCTAACATCTAAACTATATAATGAACTCAAGATATCAAGCACCAATAAAAATAACACAGTTGAAAAATGGGGCACATAACTATCCAGAATTCCCAGAAGAAGAATCTCAAATGACTGAGAAGTACTTAAAGAAATGCTCAACTTCACTAGTTATCAGGGAAATAAATGTCAAAATGATTCTGAGATTCCATCACACAGCAGTCAAAATGGCTAAGATCAAAATCTCAAGTAAGAGCACATGCTGATGAAGGGTGTAGAGAAAGGGAAACACTCCTCCATTGCTTTTATGAGTGTAAACTTGTACAACTACTTTGGAAATCAGTCTGTTGCTTTCTTAAAAAACTGGGAATAACTTTACCTCAAGACACCTAGCTAAACCCCTCCTGGGTATATTCCCAAAAGGCACTATGTTCATAGAAGCTGTATTCATAATAGCTAGAATCTAGAAAGGACTTAGATGTCCCTCACCTGAAGAATGGATAAAGAAACGGTGGCACATTTACACAACGGAATACTACTCAATTATTAAAAACAAAGTAATCATGAAATTTTCAGGCAAATTGATGGAACTAGAAAAGATCATCCTGAGTGAGGTAAACCAGACCCAGAAGGACACACATGGTATATACTCACTTATAAGTGAAATTTAGCCATGTAGTACAAGATAAGCATACTACGAGGCATAGACCCAAAGACAATAAGTAATAAGGAGACCCAAGTAAGGCTGTATAAATCTCACTCTGAAAAAAGATAGAATAGACAGAGATAATGGCTGAAGAGAGGAAACAAGGTAGGAGAGGGGACACAGAGAGTTAAGAGGGTGGAGATCAGACCTGGGAGAGCAAGGGCAATAGGACAGAAGGCATGTAGAGAAAAGAGAAACTAAGGGTGGGGACATCTCTGTGACAAGCTGGAGACCTAAGTCAAGGTAGGCTCCTAGAAGGATATGAGGGAAATTCAAACACAGACTCCTAGTAGACCATAGAGGCAGAAGACAACATCTTCTAACTAGACTAATCCAGTAAAGGGCAGGGAACACCAACCCACACACAAAACTTTGACCCAAAATTTACCCTGCTTGCAAAACGTGCAGGAATAAAGGTAGAGCAGATAGAGCAGAGATTGACAGAATGCCTAACATATCCTGGCACAACCAAAGACCTACCCTCTCAGAGAGTGCCAACCCCTGACACTCTGATACTCTGCTAAGCTTACAGACAGTATCTTGTCTGAGTTGTCCTTTGTGAGGCTCTATCCAGCAGTGCCTTAAAACAGGTGTTGTCATTCACAGTCAAACATTGGTTGATGAGTAGGGAATCTTGGGAAATAGTGGGAGGAAGGAGAAAAAGACCTGGAAATGATGACAGCTCCACAAGAAAAACAGCAGTGCCAACTATCCGGGGTCCAGAGGGGTTTGCTGAGACTGATGCATCAACCAAGGACCATGCATGAACTGGACCTAGGCCCCTTACAAAGATGTAGAAGACAGGCAGTTTAGGCTTCAAGTGGGTACTATAGTATGGGAAATAGGGACTCCATAGGACACAGACTCATTTGACAGCTTTTAGACCACTTTTCCTTGGCAGGACTGCCTTGGCAGGCAGAAGAGGACTTGTTTAGTCCTTATTCAACTTGATGAGCTGCGGTGGATGGGAAAGCAAGCTCCCATTTTCTAGGAAAAAGTAGAAAAGGGTGTAGGGTGGGAAAGATGTTGAGACTGAGAGGGAAGGAGGGAAGGGGTTACAAGGTTGTAAAGGGAATAAAATAAATAAATAAGCGAAAAAACATAGTTGAGCAAATGTCTTTTTGGTATGGTAGAGCATCTTTTGGCTCTATGCCCAGAAATGGGATAGCTGGATCTTGAGGTAGTACTATTTCTAATTTTCTGAGAAAGTGCCAGATAGATTTTTAATACCTGCCACTCTTAACTGGATCTAAATCCATGGCTGAGTGGATCATCAGCCTTAGGGTAGAACCTACAGTCACTATGTTGCTAAATGGGTATCATACCAAACTATTCTCTAAATATTCATGTTTATACACAGAAGATGGTGAAGCTTTTAACCCTTATCAAGGAAGTTTCCTTATGCATCAGAAGGTGCCCATTTCAGAGATCCATAGCTGGTCAACATGCACAGAATAAGATATTGTGACATAATCAATACTACATGAGACATCTGTATCCCTCCCATCATCCTCCAGAGTCAGGCAAATCACAGAAATGGAGCTGGAAAAATTTCAAGAACCAAGGCTGTAGTGGAGGGTTGCAGAACAGTGTTCCCCTGACAAGCTCACAACAGCTGTGACTTGAACTTGAACTCGCATACACTTGAAGGAGTACTAATCCATTAGGTGGGGTAGGGTCTCACAGAACTACATCCCTTGCTGGGAAGCTACTGGTACATCATGGCTGCTGGGGGAGAGACTGGTCAGCTTTCTGTAGTGGTGGAACTCTGGGCAGGTTGCTCATGCTCCAGT